GGGGGGGGGAGCTCAGCCCCCCTTCGTTCCAACACTACGCTCTCCAGAAGGGAGTGAGCAGCGGGAGCTGCTGCTAACGTCGCCTGTTCCGGAGGAACCATTCGACCATTCAATTTGCTCCGAGAGTTGGCGATTAAAGTAAAAAAAGGGTCAATGGCGTTGTCCAGCTTGTAGTGACCCGCCACTGAGAAATATTCCTCGGCGCTTACCTTGAAACAAGACTGCTCGTCTGCTTCTCCTCGGGGAGGAGAACTTGCCGGACCACAGGCAGCCTTAAAGGTTGTACTGGTCAAGCTGGACAACTTCCCTTCTTCGTTCTTCTGACAGTGCTATTAGCTTGTTGAAGAAAAATGGGAGGCTGATTACCCGCTCTTAATGTAATTTATACAAACCAGGTGGGCGTGGACTAAATTTTTTCAGTGCGATGCTTTGCATGGCAGGATAAAACCCACCAGCGACAGCCTTAAATGGCGAAGCCTATACGAAATAGAACCTTGATTTTCAGCCAACTCTTCATTTGCATCAGCAATGGTCTCATTCTAATCAACTGGTTACTTTCAAAACAATACAATATGGTTTGCATGCAACAGTTTATTTCAAGTTTAAGGGTATCTGAATCTTTGCAAACATATTTAACTTATTTCAACAACTTGTCTGGAAATGTGTATAGGTGTGCACTAAGAGATCGCTAAAAGGAACCCAAAACATGTCAGGTGGTCTGTGCATGTGACAACGTTAATCTTTTTATTTTCCAAATTTACCTGAAACTAACTTTTCCCCATTTCTTATCTTTCCCTATACAAAAAAACACTTCCATCTCATGTCTTCTGGCAGCTTCATCAACTAAGACAACATACGTCAGCTACAGTAATCATGCCATCTGAAAGGACTGCAGAAAGGGTGTGTCATATGGGGGCCAGCTGAGAGCAAAACGGAAGTGTCATTCACCACGGATTGGTTGAAGATCTGGCGGATAGACAGAAAGTCCAATGGAATCTAAGCATGAGACATTTTGTATTGTTACCCATTAAATCACTGAGGTGGGACCACAAACAGCCAGTCAGTGTGCCTGCTTTGCTGCTACTCACAGCTCATTGGTCCTGCCATGAACTTAGCTGTTTAAAACAAAAAAAGTTGACAATGGACAGAGAAACTATAAAAAAATAAAGATATATATAAAAAGGGCAAAGATGGGGCTGATAGAGAATTTAACAAATTACATTTAAAAAGATAAATTTATGAGACTCAAATCTGTTTGTTGTTGTTCTCTACTTGTAAGTATTTTTGTGGTTGTGATGATTTTTTCATTCCTGTCTCACTGTTGTCTTATGGATCGCCCTTGCATAATGAGATGAGTGTTTCCTCCTGCTGTCTTGGCGAACCAGGTTGTAGCCTTGGGTTGTGAACCTGTAAAACGCCATGGTTGAAGCATGCCAGTTTTTATACAAAAATGAGAATTATTTATAATAAAGGAATGTTTTGCAAATGTGTAGATTTGTTGTCATGCTTTGGAAATATGGGACTTATTTAGGGTTGTTATGGCAGCTTCTTATTTTAGTTCCTTTGAGGCCATTTTAGGCACTGGTCCAGTGCTAGATTCGCAACTCAGGTATAGCTCAACCGAGCTGATGGCCATCAGAGGCAGTTTGGTTGAATTCTGAAATCCGCACTCGGAACAGTGGCTCCTGGGGACGACAGAATGGCAGAGCAGAGGGCGAGGAGCAACGGTCAAGAGGAAGACGGGGTGCGCATTGGCCCAGCTAAAGGATAAAAAAAACTGATTCCTACTCTCTTTCTGGCCAATGTCTGCTCACTGGAAAACAAAGTGGACTTGTTACATCTGAAGGTGAGTGTTTCTACAGAGATGAAGAACTGTGCTGTTCTGGAACGGAAACCTGGCTCAACAACAACATGCCAGACTCAGCCTTCCAGATCAATGGTCTTCAGTAATTCTGAGCAGACCATCGGTTGTGAAAAACAAGGGGGGAGGTCTCTGTGTGTTCGTAAAAGGAAGAATCTGCGGAGAGCTGGACTTGGGAGCGCTGTCCCGAGTAACTATTGCTGTGTAGTGGAGAGCGTTCTCTGCACCTGCATCACCTTGTGGCACGGCAGAGGGTTGCTACGATTGGGGAGCAGCCTTCCTGTCACCTCTAGACATCACGTTGCAGGGGGAAGGTGCACCGCATCGTGAAGGACTACACTCATCCTGCACACAGTCTGTTCCAGCCCCCTTTTTTATATTTGTTAATTGTTAGGCTTCTTTATCTGGAACCAGAGTCCAAATTTCGTACCATAAACATGCAAATGTGAGCTGGTATGACAATAAAAATCCTTGAATCCTTAATCCCAATTTTTGTTAACACAAAAAAAAAAGTTTACAATAATAATATCACTTTTCTTGCATTTAAAGGAAAGAACAAATTAGAGGTCCAATCCATAAATGGTATGGACTACTTATATAGTGTATTTTTATATTATCAAGACACTCAAACACTACAATCTGTGTCCTCATTTACCCGTTCATACAGCACTCATCTATACAAAGACTAATCAGAGCTTTAGCCATCTGCTGAATCCTAGAGGACCAACATGGACATAAAGTATGTTCAGAAAGTGAAGATATACATTAGTGGATAGATTTACAAGTTATATATAAATGTTTTAAGATTTGTGAGCCAAGGAATGGAGTTGGATTTATGATTTAATCTTCTCATCATATGGATATATCACCTAGGGTCCACAATTTCAGAGGAACCTTTTTTTTTCTGCTCTTTCTCAAGCCTTAATTTAACCAGAATCACAACAAACACAAACCAGTCCTGCAGCTAAGTGTTTCATTAACTTCAATACAATTCACTTCATAACCACAGATTCAAACATCTTCCTCAGTTTATCATGTATTTTCAGGACTGTTGAATATTTTCACATCATTTATTTAAATGTCACTTTGGGTCTCGTAGGAAATCTCCAGCTACAGCAGGTGTCTATAAATCCTTGTGATGAAATGCAGAATGTAGCTGCCAAGGGATCAAAGATTGCATCAACTAACACGTCGTCTGTCGTCTGAAAGAAACCAGCTGCTGGGAGTTTGGGTACAGGACGGATTTAGTGAACTCAGTCAGCTGCCAGTTAGATCAACACGAGTGTCAGAGTGCAGGTGTTAGAATATGCTTTAAAAAAAAAAAGTGCTTGTTAAATAGTGAACTTAACAACTCTTAAATATGTGATCTCAGTACTGTAGTTTTTGGAGTTTGTAGCTTATTTACAGTGGAGCAAAAAAGTATTTAGTCAGCCACTGATTGTGCAAGTTCTCCTAGAAAGATGAGAGAGGTCTGTAATTTTCATCATAGGTACAATTCAACTATGAGAGAGAAAATGAGGAAAAATAATCAAGGAAATCACATTGTAGGATTTTTCAAGAACTTATTTGTAAATTATGGTGGAAAATAAGTATTTGGACAATAACAAAAGTTCAAGTCAATACTTTGTAACATAACCTTTGTTGGCATTGACAGAGGTCAAACGTTTCCTGTTAGTCTTCACCAGGTTTGTGCACACTGTAGCTGCTATTTTGGCCCATTCCACCACGCAGGTCTCTTCTAGAGCAGTGAAGTTTTGGGGCCGTCGCTGGGCAACAATTAGGAATGAGATCATCAGAGGTATAGCACAGGTTGAACAACTGGGAGACAAAGTTAGAGAGGCCAGACTGAGATGGTTTGGTCATGTCCAGAGGAGGGACAGTGGGTATATTGGTAGAAGGATGTTAGAAATGCAGCTGCCAGGAAACGGACGAAGAGGAAGGCCAAAGAGGTGATATATGGATGCAATTAGAGAGGACATGGAGGTAGTTGGAGTGAGGACAGAGGATGCAGAGGACAGAGGGAGATGGAGGAGGATGACTCGCTGTGGCGATACTGGAAGAGCAAAAAGCCGAAAGGAGAAGGAGGAGACTGTGCACTTTTTGGGCAGTGGTTCTGAGGCACTAGCACACCCTCCCCCACTGTCCCTACGCTGCACAGACTCCACAGACTCTTTTGATACAACTAAAGACATTTTTATTCAGACAAGCTTTTGCTTAATGTTATTTTTTGTTTGCTTGTTTGTTTTGTTTTAATAGTCTTCCCTTTGTGAAGCACTTTGTGATCTATATGTCTGTGAAAGGTGTTATAGCAATCAAGTTTTATTTACTGTAGTATGACTTCCAAACTGTGAGTATCCACAACTTCTCCCCTGCCATAATCCTCAGCACTGGCTCCCCTCAGGGCTGTGTTAAGCCCCCTCCTGTTCATTCTGCTCACATATGACTGTACACCTACCTATCCAGGCTGTCATATTATAAAGTTTGCAGATGATACAACAGTGGTTGGATCCATCACAAACAACAATTCCAGCTACAGGTAGGAGGTGGAACACCTGGAGAGATGTTGCAGGAAGAACAACATTCACATCAATGTGAAGAAGACAAAAGAGATGATTGTGGATATCAGAAGGAGCAAACACACCTACACACCCTACCCCCCAGCCGAACATGGGAAGATCTGTGGTGGATGTGGTCTCCAGTTACACGTACTTGGGTGTGCACCTGAATAAGAACCACAGCTGGGGCAACAACACCACCAGCCTGATGAAGAAAGCGCATCAAAGACTACTTCCTCAATCAGCTGAGACGAGCTGGTCTGAGAAGCTCAGTCCTCACCTCCTTCTACAGGTTTGCAATGGAGAGCATCCTGTGCTCCAGCATCAACATGTGGCATGAGGGCTGCACAGCTGGAGAGAGGAAAGCTTTGCAGAGAGTGGTGAAGGCTGCACAGAAGTCTGTCTCAGCCTCCCCACCATCACAGACATCTACACCTGTAGATGCAGGAAGAGGGCCACCTGCATCATGAATGATCACACTCACCCAGCACACACACTTTTCCCCTGCTCCCCTCAGGCAAAAGGTTGCGGAGCATTTTAAGTGTAGAACCACTAGATGAGGGGTGTCAAACTAGCTTACAACAGGGGGCCTAAATTAAAACCTTTTTCAAACTAAGGACCAGTTTGAAAAACCACATTACCTAAAATCAGAGACCCAACATCTTTTCTTGGTCACAGGTTTCTCAACAAGAGTTTGGTTGGTCTCATTTGATGTTCTCTGTTGTGCTTTCAACATTATAATCAAAGATTACTGAAAAAAAATTAAGAGATAGAAGTATTTTACGTTTCACAAATCATCTTGGGGGCCAAATAAAATGTCAACGAGGGCCACATTTAGTCCCCAGGCCTTGAGTTTGACACTTATGCACAAGACTGAGGAACAGCTTCTACCCTGAGGCTGTTAGACTCATGAATCCCTAAGCAGAAAAATCACTGTAAAGACACTTTAATTGTGCTGCTGTATCCATGCTGTTAATTTCTTGCCTTTAAGCTGCTATATTCATATCCATCTGTCACAACAGACTCATGTTCAGGCTGCTGTTTAATCACTGTGTTATATTACATTATTATTGTTTAGCATATATCTTAGATCCTTGTGTACCGTTTCAGTTTTTAATTTATATTTATGGGTGTAACTGTGACCTTGAGTGCACAATTTTGTTCCACCTCATGTACCACATGTAATGCAAATGACAATAAAGTCACCTTGAACCATATTTGGAAAATATTTGTTTTTAAATTACACTGACTTGGCATAAAGTTTAGTAGGAAAAAACTTGAAACTTCAACTTGTGTTTTCTCTTCTGAAAGTGTGCACCATACCCAGCAGTGTTTATACTTTACCTGAAAAAGCAATTTGACAGCTTTCCAATAGCCTCATCAAAACTAAATACGAGTTTTTTGGAAGAATAATGTACCTCAGCCAGAAGAGCTCCAGTGGCTTTGAAATGCAGTGCTGAAGCTGAAACAATGTAGCTCAACTCTAAGTTATTTATATTGTTTATTCCGTTAATTTGTCACTTAAATTTATTTTGGAGAAAGAAATTAAAAAATAAATAAACTGGGTTTTTTTTTATGTTGTTTGTTTTGAAACCGCTGAAGAAAGAAAATACTCTTCCAAACCACTTTAAATGCAAATTAGCATCACTTGCATCACAACACATGTAGAAAAATTTAGAGTTCTGCAGGGATTTCTTTTTTCCAAGATTTTAAGTTTACAAAACATACAGTTTTGGTTTTCCTAAGCCAAAGGTTCTTTAGACACT